TTATAATAGCTCCTTTTCCATCTTTACTTTCATTTTAATAGTCTCTCCTTTTTTCTTGATAGGTGAAGAATTGATAAATTTTGTTTTTCTTTTCATAAATCCAGTTTTTAAATCAGATTCAGCCTTTATAACTTTTAAAACCCTATTGTATTATTTCCACTGTGATAATCTCTTTCAATACAGGTTTGGTTCTTATTTTTCTTGTTTCTTTAGGTGCAACAATAGGCTGTTTATTCGCAGTTTCCCTGTTGTTTTGACAGAGGTGTTAATTGCTATAAACTTCCTTCTTAGAACTGCTTTATCATATCTCTTAAGTTTTTGTATATTGTGTTTTCATTTTCATTTGTTTTGAGACTCATTTTAAATTACCTTCTTAATTTCTTTCTTGATTCAGTGGTCGTTTGGATATACGCTGTTTAATTTTTTTGTGTCTGTATGGTTTCCAAAGTTTGTCTGGTTATTGATTTCTAGTTTTATTGCATTGTAATTAGTAAGATACCAATATGATTTTAGTTATTTTAATTTGTGAAGGTTTGTAGCCTACCATGTGATGTATTCTGGAGTCTTCTATGTGCCGTTGAGAAGTATCTGTATTCTGCAGATGTTGAGTGAGATGTTCTGAAACTGTCTTTTAGGCCTGTGTAAGATAAGGCACAGGTTAGCTCTTCTGATTCTGTATTGATTTTCTGTCTCCATGTTTGATCTGTTCATTGCTGAAAATGGAGTTCTAAGGTGCTCTACTACTCTAGTGGAGTCTATCTCCTTTATATATTTAGCTGCATTATTAGGTGCACATATATTTGTTTTTCCTCTTGTGTAGTTCACTCCCTTATTATTATAGAACTGCAGGCATTATTAATTACACCAACATTACAACTACCCTCAACAAAATAAAACCCGACTCTTAAAATAAGTTTTTAAGAGTGGGCACAAACCCAGAGGACACTTGTTCCCCCATATATCTCTAAGAACTGTGCCAGTGGGCCAGACTACAATCAATTTGTATTCCAAGTCACTTCTCCAGCCTCATTGGGGAAGTACAGGTTCATCTCCACCCTTAATAGTCACAGACCATCTTTCCATACCTAGTTCCCATTCATCCAAGATCACAAATCCTTCCCACCCTTCAGCATGTTCAAGGAGGTGGGGTGCACCTTTCAGTGCTTTGATATGTGCATTCTCAAGCATACCCACATTCATTCATTCATTCATTCATTCATTATCTTTTTTGGTGGAGTATCAAATTAAAGTTGCCAAGGAAAGACCCCCATCACAGGAAATAGAGGTCACAGTCATAAAACTTCAGGTTCATTAAGTGTGCAAAAGGTACTTAAAAGACATAGCCCAGATTATGTCCATCATGTAGATGTCATTCCTACATAGAACAACTTTCCTTGTCTCTCTTTATTGCTTCTAAAGTTTCTCTTATCTGATGTAAGTATGTTTGCTACTCCTACTTTTAAGAATCCATTTCAATAGAATATCTTCTCTCCATTTACTTTTAGTTTATGTGTGTCCTCATAGATGATCATCATATAATTGAACCTTTTAAATTTTTTATTACATTTATTTGTGTGTTGGGGTGTGTGCATGCCACAACATGTGTATGGAGGCCAGAGGACAACTTACAGGAGTTAGTTCTTTCCTTCTACACTGTGGGACCCAAGATCAAACTCAGGCCACCATGTTTGGTAGCAAGTCCCTTTGGTCACTAAGCCATCTTGAGAGCCCTAATTAGATCTTTAAAAAAAAAAAAAGGCAGTCTTTTAGTTGGAGAATTTAATCCATTTATATTTAATGTCATTATTGATATCAGGATTTACTATAGCCATTATATAATTTGTTTTTAAGATTCATTTGTTTCATTTATCTGGTTGTTTTTCTTTCTTCAAAATTACTGCTTTACTCTTTTATTGGCTTCCATTGATGTTCATTAATTTTCTCTAGTAATGTGCTTTAATTCCTTGATTATTATTTTTGGTGTGTTTATTATTGATTTTTGCTTTTTGGTTTCCAGAAGGCTTAAAAAAACTTCATTATAAAAGCTCTTCTGTCTTCTGAGGGCACAGCATGACACAGGTGCACTTACTTACATGCAGGCATATCACTCATACACATAAAAAATAATAAATAAAATATTTTTTAAGAAACCTATTTTGAAATAATAGCAACTTTACTCATAAATATAGGAAAAGATACAAACTGAAATGAACAAATACTAAAAAAAAAATCAGAGTTCTTATATTCCAATCCTCCCTACTTTTTAAATATTTTTATATCCAATTTTCACCTTTTTTAATATTTCCTATCTCTTAACATGGTAATATAGTTACTATTTTGTCAGACTTTTTCCTGTAATACTATAAAAATCTCATACTGCTCTCTTTTGCTCTGTCCATAAGGGCTCTGCTGTGAAGTCTGATGTCAGATGAAGTTGGACACCTTCATGTAGGCTGTTACTTTTCTCTTGGTACTTTAAAAATCCTCCCTTAGTCTTTAACCTTTGAAAGTTTGTTTACATTTTTATGTTATACTTAGTTGAGGTGACTCTGATTTGTCATGTCTGACCTTTGTGAATTTGAATTTGAATTTCTTTCTAGATTTGGGACATTTTCTGTTGTTATGTTTTGGAATAAGCTTCCCTCCGCTTTGGCATTCTCATGTCTATTTTCAATATAATAATTCCAACAGTTGCTCTTTTGAACTGTCTTAATTTCATCATTTTATCACCCTTTGTATTTTTAAGCTCCTTACTATGTATTTTGAAACAGCATGTCTTTGAACTTTGATCTGTTTTACTATTGATGCCTTCTGTCACAATTGTCTTCTCATTTAGCATGCTTTTTAACACATGGATTTTATTGTTTTTTAGTACCTTAGTCCCTCTTTTAACTTTGCCTGATAAAGTGCTGATTTCTTTCTCTGTATTTCCTTGAATTTGAATTTTCAGAAAACAGCAATTTAAATTTTTCCTTGAGTTTTTATATGTCAATTTCTTGGTTTCTGGCACCTTATTTTGTACCTACAAGTGAGATCATGGCTCCCCTGACGTTTCCTGATGCTTGTTGGAATAGCATAGATGTCTGTGTGTTTAAGGATTAGATGTGTTCCATTCCTTGTCATCTGCCTTTGTGCCTGTCCTTCCAGGAATTCTAATCAGACTGCTTACTTTCTCTGAGCTTGGGGTCACTAATGCTGTCATCACTAGATGGTACCTGATACCAGGTTTGCCATGTGTCTAGTCCTGGGTGCTGTCATTTTTTCTGCTTCAGGGAGAAGCCCAAGGCCAAGATTGTCCCAGGTTGTAACTTGATATATTGTTTAAGATGAACTGTACGAGTGCCTAAAAAGAATACTTTGCAACTTCAAGCCTCTTCTGGGCCCATGGCAGACCCAAATGGTTCGTCTTCATTCAGGCTCTTCAAGTTCTTCTTGGCACTTAACTCATAATGGAAGGACCAGTCTTAAGCTGTGAAACAACAACTTGTTATCTACTGCCCTCTTCTTCCCCCAAGTGGACTATAATTCTCTCAGTTGTGCTTCTGGGATGTAGAGGTAATAATGAGGTAGACAGCCTCCTGATCACCTACAAGCATAATGCTAGATCACACCTAGAGCACAGTGCACTGAAACTAGTATGTGAGCAAGACCTGAATTGCTATGGTTTGCCAGCTGCCCTCCTGTACGTGTGACCCAAGACCTCTGCAGCCAGCCATAGGTGATGACGGCTAGAATGCAATTCCATTGCACTGGAGTCTTGGGTCTCTACCTGAAAATAGGTCCAGGGACTCTATCTATATACAGTAGCCTAGGGGTGGGGGCCATTGGGATCCACTAATGTTGAATTTTGATCATTCAGCTCTG